CAACAGAAGATAATCAGTTATATTGTTTGAACACATGGTACTTTACATATATCTGTTTGTTTAAGGTGTCCAGGAGATGCAGACAGGCTGGACCAGAGAGTGAGAGACAGAACTGGACTCCTCACAGCAGTGAACTTCAGCTCAGGTACAAAGACTCTTTTTTTCATACTGTACAAAGAATCAAGAAAGATATTGGTTTAAATGAATGAAGTATTGACTTTAATACACTGATATACATTCCATTAAACAATACTAAATACTAGATCACCTACACATCCGTTAAGTTGAGGGTTTTTTCCATGCAAAAGTTACATTTTAGATATTTAGAAATATTACTTTGTCAGCTTTCTAATTTAATGTATTGAAGGCAAAGATATTTAACACATAGTGAGAACTGCTACTATTTATCTCTCAATATTGTCTGTAAAAAACGTGGTAAAAGTGATTCTTTCAGTGAGACAACAGAGCAAGCTTCTACAGTTGCACTACGTTTTGTAACAGTTCAATATTATTTTGATAATAACATTAATTTCAATGTTGATGAACTTCATACTGTTCATTCATAATCTGATTGTCTTTGTAGCTCTGTTTAAAAAAAACAAACATTACAATTACAAAATAATTATATCGACAGCCCCTAAACACACAAACACACCGCTTTCATAAATAACACACTTGTTCTGCAATAATATGTTTTATGTTTCCTGTCATTTTTGTTAGCAAAGGACATGCCTGAAAGACACGACATTTTCTCCTTCTCTGAGGGTCAAGAAGAACATCCAAGAGGAACATTAAAAGCTGATGTTATGAGATTTTAAGACCAGTACACTAAGAAACTACTTTTATTATTTATCTATTTCCACATCTACACTCCATCAGCTGATTATTTCTATTTGCCTCACTTTATGAGCTTCACATCACTTGTGCCTTGTACCGCAGAGTTTGCAACGTCACAAATAAATGGGGCCAATCTTCAGTCAGATGTGAATGTGTAATCTAACATTTTCAGTAAGAATAATGGACAAAAGGAGTGCAAATACAAATACAATTTATTGAAATGTGAATCAAAACTTTATCAAATGTTGTAAATAAAAAGCACATATGGACAGAAGGTGTAAACCTATTAAATGTATAAGTGAACACATTTAGTCAAATAAAGTGACAGACTAGGCCTGTGCAGTTGGTATCAGCTTTGCCCAGCATGGGCTCCTCCATCAGGCCTGGTCCTCCTCGCTGAGGAAAGACCCTCAGTCCTCCTCGCAGAGGGAAGACCCTCAGTCCTCTCCAAACCAACAGACAGGACGTCCATCACACGGAGGTTTCTCCCTGAAGTCTCTGCAGCTCTCTGGACACCACGCTGTCTCAATCCGTCCACACTGAATATAAGAGGGGGAAAATGAAAATAATAAATTCTTCAGACAATAAGAAATATAAAGTTGACTGTTGAGTTGCTCAGTTTTTTTAGATTGTCAATACTATTACTGTATAACTAATATCTCAGGTTAAGAGGCACATTCAAATAAAGATTGGTCTTTAAATACATGTTGTCTTTTGAATTGTTTGTCTAAAGTCAAGGATCTAGAACTGGTACTTAGTTTGAATGATACAGTCTGGTTATTATGCTGTTTGGAGGAGGCCTCACAGGTAAGAGCGCTAACTAGCTACCATCACATGTACCTTAGCTTGACTTAAATGTATTAAACGTATAATTAAGTGATATCAAAATATAAATAACTAATGTCATGCAAACATATTAATATTTGCTTGATTCCAGTGTTGAATTTAGCACAATTGCATACAAACGTTAAGGGGTTTTAAGATTCTGAAGTATTATGCTAAAAACTCAATTAATTAGATTATTATTTATAGTTTTGCTGAATAGTTTCATGTCCGCTAACCTTAGAAACGTAAAATGTGACGGCAGCGTGCAGATGGGGAGCATGTTAGCTTAGCTTGGTAGCTTCAGCTAGCTCTGGAACTTCCAGCTCGGTGGCAGCAGGTCCCGCCTCGGCTCCGCCTCTTTGCCCTTATTTGGAGCAGGCGGGAGTTGAACTCTGACGTCACTGTCGAGCCGTTAGTGGCCGACTCCGCCTACTAAGGGCTTCACGGCAACTCTGCAGAATCCTATGGGTGACGTCACGGACCCTACGTCCATTTATATATACAGTCTATGGTCATCGCGGGCGGTAGTGGACTGTTAAAGCCGGAGACTCACAACGGCGGGTGTTTGCGGCGGCGGATGCGCTACCGGTGTTGTGTCACATTATGCCCCCCCGTCATGAAATGCCCCCCTTGTCACGGGAACGCGCATTTCTAAATGACACGTTTACACCTTAAAACGATGTTTAAAACGAAAAGTAAACGTTCAGGGTTTTTATTAATGGTAATTTTCAGACTGTGAGTTGTTTAGTGGTAGCTCATAGTCTTGATTATTCTGGTTTCACTTTTCGCTCCGTATTTGAGGTGTCGAAATTCAATCGTCACTTCCTTTTCAGTTTTTTTTTATCTTTTTTTTTATCATTATTGTTACGTCCTGTCTGTATAAACGTGCTTTAAAATGTATTGTTTAATTTTACATAGTTGTCATCTAATAATCAAAATATATGTTTACAAATGTTACATAGTCTTTGTCAGCATATTATTATATATACGCTATGCGTACAAAATAAAAATGTCACATTCATGAAACTTGCTCCATTTATTGGTACCAGTCCTAGAACCATACCCTGAAAAATGCTTGAGGGTGGGATTCATAGAAACATCTTTTTTTTGGGGGGGGGGGGGGGCATTTTATGACAAGCCAAACAATAGTTGCATTGGTTGAAATGACAGTGGACAGTTAATGATGGTTCCTTCGGGGCATTATGTGCATCCAGGGCACAAGTACGGTTGATCCACTGGAGGCCACCGCTGACAGATGTCACAGCAAATCTGAGAAAACAATAAATACTTGTTATGTAAGGTATGCATTATGGGATTTGTTTATGATAATAGAATATCTAATGTATTTCCCACTAACATTCTAACCATTCCTTCAATTATCGAAATCTTTCAAAAACATAAATGTTGTGTTTTGAGAAAGAAATACATTTTCAACAAATGTATGGAAAAACAAGCAAAACATGAATCCTTTATCAGTTAATGCTGAAGATGCCAAATATAGTAGCAATTACCAACGCAAATGTTATGTTGATAAAGTCTGGAAACATATTTCTGCTAATTTTCTTTATTTGTAATGTGCAATAGGAAATTACCCAATGTTGTTCATCCTGCTCCTCCATCCCGCAGTAAAAGCAAAGCCTGCTTAGATCATCTGTTGAGACCAAAAGTAATCAATATCTTCAGATAAACCACATTGTAGATTTGGGGTCAAGGTGACCCATTCCAATTTTTGACTAAAAGGTCAATTATATAAGGACACATTTGTTGTGGTCTTTTATTATTTTGTCTGAAGAAAAGGCAAAACACACACATAGATTTTCTAAATGATTAAATCTGAGCACAGATGAGCCATCTGCTCCTTCTTTCACTCTCTGCTTACCCGCTGTAGAATGGAAACCTGCACAATGTCATTACAAAACATCCAAAAACTTATTTTGCACTGTACGCATCAATTTAAGTTTGGTTCCCATGGTTCTTTTGTTGTTCATCACATGTATTAGCTTTACAGCTTTGATTATAATAAGTTCAAGGTACAAATTAACTGAGGATATCAGTTAAAAGTAGTATCAATCAATCAATGTTTATTTATATAGCCCAATATCACAAATGTTACATTTGTCTCAGTGGACTTTACAGTTTGTACAAAATATCAGTATGACAATACGACACCCTCTGTCCTTAGACCCTCTGTCCTTAGACCCTCACATCGTACAAGGAAAAACTTCCGAAGAAAACCCACAGTTTAAAGGGAACATGGGAGAAACCTCAGGGAGAGCAACAGAGGAGGGATCCCTCTCCCAGGACGGACAGACGTGCAGTAGATGCCGTGTGTAAATTGAAAAGATAATACATTTGCAACATAGGTAGTCCAATACACACCAATGAGCACATTGAAAGGAGGAAGATGGGGAAATCTCACATCTTAAATAAACCGCAGAATTGAAAGGGTGTGTTAGAGTGTGACGTGTGTAGCCTATATGAAATTGCAGTTGAAGATGCCTGCCTGCGATGCTTCATATGTTATCTGTTTGGAATTGAGATACACAATATACTGTATGTAGTGACTATTTACCCTAATCTTAAGCCACTGTGTTGCTTTTAAAACCCTGATAATGTCCCTGGTCAACATTAACCCAACAGTACCAATGGTCCAAGCAGTGATACAATACAACAATTTGCATGGCACATTATTCATATACTAGGTTATTGATGCATACTTATGAGATACAATTAATAAAAGTATCTACATGAAGTCATTGACAATGTTGAGAAAAGGTAACAAACCAGATTCTCTGAGGAGAGAAGTAGCAATGTCCAGCCTCAGCTCGTGCACTGCCTTCTGGGAGGTTTCAAACTCAATTGCCTCCCCCAGTCAAATCTTCTCTGCAAACTGAAGAGAACTCTGATTAGTATCTGGACTGCATGGTCTATGATTTCACCCTCAAATGGAATACAGACGAATGACCCAACAGATTTAAAGAATGACATGTTGTATATGTGTAGTTTGACACAATTCAATACATCTTTGATCAAGATGTATAAAAGCAAGTCAAGATATTCAGTCTAATTGCTACTGAATTTGAGTTTGAGAGTAAGTAACTCACTTTTAAGGCCAGGACACCACAGGATGTGCTGTCTTGTTGGCAATTATGGGGGAGGGTGCTGCACCTTGACACCTTGCAGCCTTTCATCCTCATAAAGGCTCTACAGTATGTAGATAGTACATGTGTCAAGATGCAGCACATCATTGTCAAAAAACTCATACAACACCGGAACTAGTACACTGTATCAAATGTACCTTGTAGACTGTAGGCACACCCTCATTTCTCAGTGGATCCAAGAAGAGGGTTTTCTTCTCATGGGGGTACATTACCTTTTATTATTCACATGGAAACACAACATGCTTTAGGCAGGAACCAGACATTAGGCGGGTACGATGTATTGTTTAGATGTTATCAATAATAAGTGACAGCATGTATGTGTGGCCCGGTTATCTTGCAAATCACTAATTATATATGGTGTATACAGCACTATAGAAACAGATTGGAGCTTAAAATATGCTCCTATTCTCACCACCAACATCCAGTGATGGTTCTCGTTCACAATTCCCACGATGACTGTGTGTGCCATTGGATCAACCTGAGAGTAGTTGCAAAAGTATTACATTCCTGTTGAAAAATGCACATTTGCAACATTTACAAATGCAAAGTCATTCCAATCATGTACATACCCGGATTCTTCCAAATGTGTGTTTCCAGATGGCGGTCATAGCGTAGCTGTCAATAACAGCTGCTTGACCGTCATTGCGCTGGTTGAATGTTCTTACAATGAGTGTAAGGTAGGCATTGATCACCTTTGAGAAAAATGATCACAATGCAGTGGCGAACCGTGTCTATCACAACTGGAACTTCTGTAGACACACAAATATAAAAATATAAATTATAATGTGACAAAGCAATACCTCACTCTCCAGCTCCTTGTTTGGACCAGTGTTTGTGATGTCCCAAAAAAAAAGTTTGTATGGCCCTATTTTTGAAAGGAGGACGTGTACATCCTTCCCAGCCTCACCTTTGTATGGTGCCGTTCATCCTCTCTACCAGCCCATTGGTTTGAGGGTGATAGGGCGAACAGAGACTTCTCTGAATCCCCATCTTGGCGCATACATGCTTGTTGACCTGTAAATATAAAGAACATTGTATAACGTTTTATATATGAAAACACATCTACAATATTTTTGCAAAAAATATTTAAACCATTTTCAAAATTATTGACAAACTCTCTTCCTTGGTCAGTCAGGATTCTTTTTGGCACCTCAAACTGATGGAAAAACTTCACAATGCATTCTGTCACCTCAGTTGCTGTTTTGGTTTTCAGAGATATGCTTGCGGCCATTTGGTGAGGTAGTCTACCATAACGCAAATGTATACTTTCCCACTATTGGTAGTTTTTAACCTGCCAATCTAGTCCATGCCAATGAGCTCAAATGGATGTTCAACCTTGAAAAAAAGGAGAAATAATAATTATACATTTTATTCTGGATATAATGTTTGTGAGCATGTTGTGTAGGGAAAATAATTCTGCTCAAATCAATCAGAGCTTTCTTCCTTTCTACATTATCTGCTGAGATGGATGTGATATATGTGAGGTAAATGTGTTTTGTGATACAACAACAGACATTGATTTTGAGAAAGTGGTAAAAACTATTGCCTTTATTGGGGTATATTCCACCTCCTGTTTTATAGGATGAGCAGCTGCCTGGCACACTGCACATTCTGACACCTGTTCAAAACACATACACAGGTATATCTGAATACCTTTTTCTGTCAGTTCACACAGGACCAGACCAAATAGAACAGGTTCTTACATTTCTGTAATTTGAGGAAATAATACATAAATGTAGGCCCCGGCCAAACGAGGACGATAACGGTCGTTTCCGTTACCGTTCTGTGTCATATAGACCATTCGGCCACACGAGGACGACCGAATACGGCACTAAACAACTACGGTAACGATAACGGGTCCCGAGGTGGATAGAACGGCATACGCAACGCTCTGGGGGGTCCAACGGCTCTGTGTGTACGCCCTATACGATCATTTTCTGATAATGATGAGGCAATAGCCCCACCTCTCCCCACCTCTGCTGCTCACCCCCACGTCAAAGTAAACTGCACACTGAATTCAGATTATTTATCTTTCTCTCGATATGGACATAAACGCGAGTGAAGTCTAATCTGACAGGACGGAGACACGCAGCTCTGCTCACCTGCAGCTCCTCCCGCTGTGATGCGGCGGTGAACGGAGCAAAAGACACACTTCAAGTCAGATCATCACCCTTAGCTATTTTAATTACCTCTCAAACTAAACTAGTTATAAATATGTTTATTTTTACTGTCGGCCGGGTCACTCATTACTGGATCAGCTGCTGCATGAGACAGACACTGGCGCTGTCCGAAGAGAGGGAGGAAAAAGAGAGGCTCCGTGTATTTTATTATTATAATATATAGATTCGTTATTCATTTGTTTTAAAGCTCAATAAATAACAAAGAAGACCTTTGACCGGCACTTTTATAATTTTGTCCGGAAGATTTAAACTTTAATACACGTTGACTGGCGAAAAACTCTGCCCGGTTCCCTCGGCCCCCACCGCGGAGAATAAACAGAAGGGCAACCATGACAACCATGCTTCTTCGCTGCTTTTGTGGAGGATGTTACAGCGCCACGTACAGGCTCCTGCATATGTACTGCAGCTTCTCCAGCGGTTGGAGCAAAACAGAGCAGTCTCGTGTGGACAGACACTATCCGGTGAATATTGCGTGTGGACGGAAGCTTTTTTGCGATTGCGTTTGCGTTAATCCTATGCGTTTAGCCGTTTTCGTCCTCGTGTAGCCGGGGCCTTAAATGCATGTAGGCAGGGTATTTAACTTTATTCTGCGATAAGCTGAAGCTATAAAAAGTGAACAGCTTGCTTATCAGCAGTTGCAGTGCTTACCCATTTATGTATGTCCGAAGACATCCCAGGCCAAAAGAATCTTTTCGACATGGCGTCTCTGGTCCTGTGTTGGCCTGTAGGAGCACCTGTGGCGCTATCGTGGAAATCTAGTAAGATCGCGTTTGCCTCCTCCGCGCCTCTGACCACTTTGGTCTTGGTGGCCTTACCCTTCATGTAATACAGGGCTCCATCTTTAACATAAATTGTAATATTCGTTGACATCAAATAAATGACAGTTATACAATCCGCATATTGACTTACAAAAGTTTGTGGGGTGTCTATGAATAGGCTACTTAAACAATCAATCAAAAACTCACCATCCAGGACATAAGTGGAAGCCTTTCTTCTTATTTCCTTTTTACATGTCTTTGTGCTGTCTAGCGGATACTGGCCTTTACGCTTGTAATCGACAATGGTTTGGTACACATTGTTATCAATTTTACCAGAGCAATCTTCACGGTGTAACTGTCGGCTGTACCACAAATTGGTTTTCGCGCCGTCACTAATGACTGTGGGACGCGAGAACGAGTGGGGTGCGCGTGTGCAAGTTGCTTGTGTTGGTAATGCGCAAAATTAATCCAGTAGACAGACATGTGCGCATATATAAGATAATTATTACATTACATTACATGTCATTTGTTAGACGCTTTTATCCAAAGCGACTTATTCAGGACAATCCACACAGGAGCAATTACCTGCATTACATTCTTTCTTGATCTGGGCTATAATAAGGGGTGTGTTGGAGCTATATATCTCTTAATATTATTTAATAGTTTAACATGTATTTTCTTGCTGTTTATAGTGTTTATTGTAAATGTATTCTTAGTTAGTCTCATAAGTTAAAGTATAGTTGCTATGCTTTTATTTTGAAGGCATGTTTTGGGCACTGGGTGATTAGAGCACCTGGTGTAATTGTATATATTGGAGACAGGTGGGTGGTGGGAGCCAGAGCACTAATAGGCAAACGGTTTTTTAGCAGGGTGTTTCAAGCCACACAAAGGAAAGCCATAGGAAAGGCTTAAGGAAGAGATATGTAGGAAACCTGTTCATTGTACTTTGTTAATGGAATAAAATGCACAAATGGAGGTTCTTGTCTGGATTTGGATGATCATTGCCCTGCGTAAGATCCGCTAACTTGTGCCTCAGCGGCTGTATTATTTTAAGTTAATTATCTGTTTTATTTCTATATGATTTTGGCCGCTACAGGGAGACTGCAAGGTTTCTTATATTAAACTTTGCCAATAAAAATCTAATAAATCTTCAAACTAAATGTTTATTTTATGTGTGATAATGTCAACCTGATCTCACCAGAATGCGTGACTCCACCACGACTCCTTAACACCGCATTCTGTTGGGTCATTCGTCTGTATCCCATTTGAGAGTGAAATCATAGACCATGCAGTCCAGATACTAATCAGAGTTCTCTTCAGTTTGCAGAGAAGATTTGACTGGGGGAGGCAATTGAGTTTGAAACCTCCCAGAAGGCAGTGCACGAGCTGAGGCTGGACATTGCTACTTCTCTCCTCAGAGAATCTGGTTTGTTACCTTTTCTCAACATTGTCAATGACTTCATGTAGATACTTTTATGAATTGTATCTCATAAGTATGCATCAATAACCTAGTATATGAATAATGTGCCATGCAAATTGTTGTATTGTATCACTGCTTGGACCATTGGTACTGTTGGGTTAATGTTGACCAGGGACATTATCAGGGTTTTAAAAGCAACACAGTGGCTTAAGATTAGGGTAAATAGTCACTACATACAGTATATTGTGTATCTCAATTCCAAACAGATAACATATGAAGCATCACAGGCAGGCATCTTGAACTGCAATTTCATATAGGCTACACACGTCACACTCTAACACACCCTTTCAATTCTGCGGTTTATTTAAGATGTGAGATTTCCCCATCTTCCTCCTTTCAATGTGCTCATTGGTGTGTATTACTTTCAACTGATATCCTCAGTTAATTTGTACCTTGAACTTATTATAATCAAAGCTGTAAAGCTAATGTGATGAACAACAAAAGAACCATGAGAACCAAACTTAAATTGATGCGTACAGTGCAAAATAAGTTTTTGGATGTTTTGTAATGACATTGTGCAGGTTTCCATTCTACAGCGGGTAAGGAGAGAGTGAAAGAAGGAGCAGATGGCTCATCTGTGCTCAGATTTAATCATTTAGAAAATCTATGTGTGTGTTTTGCCTTTTCTTCAGACAAAATAATAAAAGACCACAACAAATGTGTCCTTATATAATTGACCTTTTAGTCAAAAATTGGAATGGGTCACCTTGACCCCAAATCTGCAATGTGGTTTATCTGAAGATATTGATTACTTTTTGTCAACAGATGATCTAAGCAGGCTTTGCTGTTACTGCAGGATGGAGTAAAAGATGTTTCTATGAATCCCACCGTCAAGCATTGTTCAGGGTATGGTTCTAGCAGACCCGGCGCCAGAACAAATCTAAAGGGAGGGCATATGATTTTCATGGGAGGGCACACAAAACCGTCACGTGCTGCGGGCCTGCGGCATAATATATATATCAAACAGCAAGGCCAACGGCATTGCGCAAAGACGCACACTTATCGCAAATACATACACAAATAAAGGGCAACATAGAAAGCACTTTGAAACATTGTGCGCGTGGCAGCACAGACACTGGTAAATCACGAGCAAGGCACACTAGTTAAGGATGGCAGCTTCCTCATCGTTGCACTCGGAGAGAAATAGACGGAGACGATGAACTGCTGTTAGGTCTATTGTGGCATGTTGCATGTCGTGAGAGGTGTATGTTGCTGTCTGGGGAATGCTGTACATTATTTTGGCCAACTCTGCATCT